AAGAAAAACTTCCCATATGATGGGGCTGCACGATAGTTCCAATACAGAAAGTTCTAGCTAAGATTTTGTTTGCTTATATCTGGATGTTGGGAAAAAAAACTGCCCATTAACTTTCTTTTCTTCTGAGTATTGTAAAAATTGCTGTCGTGATCATTCAGCTCAGCTTGTTACTGGTACCTCCCATAGGGAAAAGTGCAATATTCCCTCGAATAGTGGGGAACAGAATTGATCATCCTGGAAGGACTGAAATTCACAGAGCAACATGTGAGGTGTTTTAAGTATATGTTACACATCTGATAACTTAGGAGACAGTGGTTCTAATACATGTTGCAAAGTATTACAAAATACATTTGCTACAGGAGATATAAATCTTATGGTTAACATTCAGAGTTAAAAAATGCTAGATTAGGTTCTTGGGTCATGGTATGGTTACTAATCCTTGTGACTATTTAATCTTCAAATATTGTGCTGCGGCCCCAGCAAACCGCACATATCCTGCACCCCACTCCAGAAGAATCATCAGTATTTAATGCCACTGCTCTTATTGGTCTCTTTTTCTGTTAAGACCAATCATGACAGCATTCAAGATTATGAAAGTGTTACAATGCCGCTTTTAAGTCTGCAAAAACTCAAGTGCAGCCAACTTGACAAATTCTTAAGTGTTATTGTAGATTTAAAATCCATTTGACACATTGTGGTAGGTATTCGTATAGTTCTAATTAGACACAGCTCTAAACCGTCACCCCGATGGATTTAACACTTTGACACCTATGCCTCCACTTCAAAATGAACACATTCATTGTGATCTTATGTTAACCTAAGGATTAATTTAAAGGGAGATTGATAATCCTACACTTCTATAATGTAAAAATACAGGGGCTACGGGAGGGTACCTAATTAGACAGTTCTGCAAACACTGAACACATATTGGAAAATTTTCCAGCCAATTTCGCTACCTCCAGACTTGATGGATTAGAGGTAGCAGGCAAATGCTGGTGCTCCTATCTACCTTGTAGACACCCAGCCATCAAGAATTATCAAGGCATAACAAGTGCACTCATTGTTCACAGTAAATGTTTGCAAAACATTAACTTTCAGCACCATGATGTCTCATCCAGATTTTGAATCTGAAAAACGATAATCCTTTTCCATTATATAAAATCACTATTATTTTCTACAGTTCTCAGCATATTAAAATTCTATTGGATTTCAAAAAGGGACTAATAACCAATTGACTTACAAATATCAACTTCTAATACTGTGATTTTTTTTTTGCTGTTTACACTTTACCTTTTGCTTTAATGTATATTTAATTTTTTAAAAGCACCATTACAGTATATTTATCATATTTCTTAGTGTTAAGATTCTGACTCATTTCTATGTATTTTTCTTACTTTACAAAATAATTTGAAACAGTATAGATTTTGTAACACTTAATTTGAGCTTTTTTATTACATTGAATTATATAAAATGCATGTTACCTTAGAAAAATTAATATTTGCTGCTTTGCTCTTTTGCAAAACATTTGCTGTAATGAAGGAATTTGTATTTCCAATACGTCCCTTGACTGCATTTTGTAATATTTACTGCTTTATGCCTAATTCTGCTTTAAAATATTGAACTGGGCATGAAACATTAAAATATTAATCCAGAACCCATATAAACTGGATGTTGCTTAAAATCTGTATCACTGCCATGTTGGAAACCCAGACTGCTTTTGTGATGTTTCAAATTAATAAAACTATCCTCCTCCTTATCCATTTTCATGGAATCTATGAGTGTGACAAACACTCTAAAGCGACTGACAGCAGCTGACTCGCTTTTGACTATTATGGTTCAAGATACATCAGACATGCAAATAACCAACATGTGAAACCTAATGGGAGATTATGTCATGCTGTCATTAGAAACATAGCTCAAATCTCGCTATAAAAATTGAAAAACAACAGAATATAAAAGTCTATATAATTTCGAAAATATAATCTTGTAAAAATGCACTCAAAAATCAGAATTAAAATGTTTTATTTTTGCTGTAAGAAGCTCTATGAACTAATCAGGTAACAATAGTTAATGAAAAGTAGAACTTAAAGTTATGATAGGAAAGATTGTACAAGTATGAATATTACAGTATTGGTGGAAATGAACAAGGTTTCATATGATTGACAGAGGTGAAGAAGTCAGTGCTGTTGAATTAGCAATTAATTCTTTAGAATATGCATGCCTTAACCATTCAAAATACCTTGATCGTTTTTTACCATTTGTTTTACCTTTTTGGTACAATGAGAAAAAAACGCTGCATCAATTCCTCATAGTAGTTGTATGTGGGGGATCATTACTACCAAAATGATAATGATCATTTAAAATATACTTTAAAGTGAATCTTTCAAGATTGCTATGGTATTTTAAAATCTGCTTGGAGAATTTTCACTTTCTGTCATTTCTTTTAACAAATTGCTATTTCAAACAGTTCCTACCCAGAATATTTACAGGTAATTTATCATAGGAGGAAATTTGAAGCCAATTTGAAAGAAAAAAAATGAAGTTAGCCAGAAAACTGAGTATAAAATAGAAAAAGCCCATTGTCAGTTTTAAACAGCATCTTGCTGCAGATTTCCAACCCAATAAATACTGGGAGTGCAGAGTTTTAGCCTCAAAGGAGTATTCCACATGAATTCCAAACTTTGAATGTAGAAACTTTTAGAAAAACTGAAGACCCTAACATACCTGCAAGTGATAAGTCTTCTGGCAAAAATACAATTTAATTGTTCAGTTTTCCTCCTCCCCAAAACTCCAGAAGATACCTTTAGTAAGCAGTTTAAATTTCATACTCAGAATTTACAGAGAGCACAGCAGCAGCAACAGCAGCAAGTA